AGCTTTTCCTGCTCCAGGTGATTTCTCACGTGGTTCATCATGGCCTGCGCTCTTTCCTCCTGGGAGTTCCTCCTGGGTTCTCACGTGCTTCATGGCCTGCTGCCTCTTTCAGCTTCATAGCCTCTACTTCTATCACCTTGGCGTTGAATTTCTTCGTGAGCATGTTCATCTCCCACTGCTGGACCTCCTCCTGGGTTCTTAGCTGCTCCTTATGCGTTTTCTCGGCATTCCTGAGCTGCTGTCTCGCCTTTTCTACGTCCTGGTCCTGCTTCTTTGTAGCTTCCTCCATGGCTTGTTCCTTTCTATTCCATTCGGCGGCTTGCTCATGTTGCTTGTGTTGCGTCCTTTGCTGCTGCTGATCGAGGCGCTCGTTGATCTTTCTGAGGGCTTCCCTGACGTCCTCCTCGTTCTCCTTCGGCTTCTCGTGCTGGCGGGTGGGTGTGGCCGCCCTGCTCGTGGGTGATAGCCTCGATCTTGCCGTAGGGTATGGCGTTCGCCCTCTCCTGGGTCCTGCGCTGATGTCCTCGTCCGATGTCTCCGCCTTGACTCCAGCATCTTTGGCCATCTGGTCTCTCGTCTCTTTCATCAGCGTTTTGTAGACCTTGATGGTGTGCGACGCTCTGGCTTTTTGATCTAGCATCTGGTTGAGCTGCTTCTCCAGGCACGCATGCTCCTCCTCTAGTCTTTCCAGGGTGCTTGTGAGCTGCTTAAGCCTCTCCTTCGGGGGGAGGACGAACGAGACGTTCGTTGCGGTGATGGCTGCCTCCTGCTCTAGCTTTTCCGTATCCTGTCCGGCGCTTCTGTCCCTTATTATGTTCTCAGCCAATCGCGCCAGCAGCTGACACTTCGTCTTGTACCACACGAGCATCATCTCCTCGTCGGTGGGTGGCGTGCTCCAACTCTCGTGATCCATCGTGGTCGCGAACGGCACGGGGGTGATGCTATTCAGTATGTTCTTCTGCCGCTGAGTGTACTGGAAGTTACCGACGTGCTCTGTGCCGCGGGTCTCTTGCTGGTTCCTCTTTCTGCTTCTGCTGCCCGTCCTTCTGGCCGAGCTGCTCCTCCAGGGGGCCCTGTCCTTCCAGCTCTGCTGCTGTTCGTTCTTCCAGTCTCCAGGACGCCCTCCAACAGGTCCCCGTTGAGCGCCGACAGCGGGGCCTGGGCGTCTGGTCCCTGCTCCTGAACACCCTTCCCCAGAGTTCCCGAGCGGAGCTTGGGCGTGTGGACCCCGCTCCTGTCCACCTTTTCCCAGCTCCGCTCGTGCGGGGCTCGAGGTGTGTGGCCCCTGCCCCTGACCACCTTTCCCCCGAGCTCCCGCGGCGCTGCCAACTCCCTTCCTGCGACATCTTGCCCTTCTGCTGCTGCGGTCGCTGTGCATTGGTGACTGCTGAGGCTGTTTGCGGCTGCCACAACTCGTAGAAGAAGACGATCTTGTCCTCCAAGGGCTCGTAGGCGTCGATGCCAGGACTCCTCCCGCCCTCTAGGCGTCTTTAGAGTCCTGGCCGCTGGTAGCGGCGGCCTTCTTTCTTTCTTTTTTGATGACCCGCGCGCGAGCCACGACCGACGGGGCGACCGACGCGGCGGCAACGGTCCCGCCCCTCCTCGTCCGATTGGCTTCTTCCTCCTCCTCCTCCTCCTCCTCCTCCCCGTCCTCCTCCTCCTCCTCCTCCTCCTCCTCCTCCTCGACACTGACGACCTCGAGCTCACCACCCATGCCGGTGACGCCGGGGCCCTCGGGGCCGCTCCACAGCGGGGCGCTTCGGGGCCCGCGGCGCCTGCTAGCGCTTTTTTTAAACATGTGCAAGAGTTACACGGATTGAGGGCGACCTATTTTCAAAACGTGGCTCTCGCCTTAGCGCCGCGCACATTCGTTTTACAACATGTGCAGGAGTTTCATGGATTGAGGGCGACCCGTTTTCAAAATGTGGTTCTCGCCTTAGCGCCTCGCACATTCGTTTTGAACTTTTACGAGTGTCACGGATTGAAGGCGGTTCATTTCCAACAAGTGGCTATCGCCTTAGCGCCACTCACATTCGTTCTAACAAGAATGCAAGAGTTTCACGGATTGAAGGCGGTTTTCCCGAAACAGGAGCTGTCGCCTTAGCGCCGCGCGCGTTTTTTTTGTTTTTGTTTTTGTTTTTGTTTTTGGAAATTGGCAACAAGTTTTGCGGATTCCCATGATCAGCGTCGTACCAGAAGCTGTGTTTTGGCATGATTCAGGGTTCTGAGGGTGCCACAGTTACGTTGATTCGCGTTGTTGAAGTCCCAGGAATGGCGTTTTGGCACGAAAGGATCGTCAAGACGCAACAGTCGGGTTGACCCGTGGCGATGGAAACACGAGAACCATGTTTTGGCATGCTTCAGGGTCTTCAATCGACTGTCTTCCAACCAGGGGCCTATGAAGAGAGAGATTGGAGGGAGGGTTTATTCCAACATCGGGGATGACTCTTGGGTTTACATTTTTCCTCCTCCTCCTCCTCCCTCATCATCTCTCCTCCTCCTCCCCCTCCTCCCTCATCATCTCTCCTCCTCCTCCTCCTCCTCCTCCTCCTCCTCCTCCTCCACGTCCTCCTCCTCCTCCTCGTCCTCCCACCTCCTCCTCCTCCTCCCACCTCCTCCTCCCACCACCTCCTCCTCCTCCTCCCGCCGCCGGGCCGCGGCGCTGGCCACGCCGGGCCGGAGGGGAGGGTGAGGTACAGCGGAGACCCATGCCAATAAACACCCTGCTTGCCTCCAGGGTGACCTGAGTTTCTTGGGCTTCGATGATTTTGAAATGGGCGTCCTGGGGTCTCAGGGTTGGGTTTCTCGTGGAAGGTTTCTTGTAGACTGGCCTCCACGGTAATTACCTCGGGAGCCTTGCGACGGGGTTCAGCCAGAGCGCCGGATCTTGCAGGATTTCGCCCGGCTCCAGCTTCTGAGCGGCCAGCCCATACCGGCGCCCCGGTGCCCATCCGCTGCACCCTCGCAGGTGCCTTGACGCGGGCTCTTGTCTCTTGTCTTTCTCGTCTCCAGGGGCTGCATTGACCCGAGCTAAGGCGCATGCTCTTGCAGGATGCTGCAGGATCTTGCAGGATCCTGCAAGGCCTGACTGACTCGGGTGCGCACTGAATCTTCAAGCGCGTTCCTACTTCAAGAGTCGATCTGTTTTTGTTGTCTTTTTTGTTATTCTCTGGGCGGACCCGAGCCCATTCTGCTCTATCCGCCTTCCTACTTCATGTTTCCAGGGGCTTCTTTCGACTGGCGGGTGTCCCTGCCTCGTCTTCCTTTTTTTTGTGGGCCTCCTGGGAGGCCCTCGTCGCCAGCGCGGGGTTTGCCTCGAGGTTCTGGTCAGAGCGCACCCTAGGAGAGGTCCGTGGAGTAGCGGTGTGGGCATCTTTTGGTTTGCCCAGGGCCGCCCGCGGGCGGGCGAGGGTCAATTTTCGGCGGCGAAGTCCGAACGCTTGCCTCGCCGATCAGCGATTCAGGCAACTCGATGGACGGCGGGGGTAGGGTTCGGAATTCATCGAGCGCGTGGCAAAACCTGAGCCCCGCCCCCGCATCTCATCGATTCAAGGGGGATCGATGGCGGTGGGGGTATATGATTTTCGTATGTCGCTTCCAAACCACGTACCGCGATCTGGTCCGGTGAGCAGCCCTCTTGTTGCGGGGTGGCCGCGCCCACAGGCTCGAAAAGGTGATCGCGCCCAGCGCAGCTAGGGGGCCAGTTTTTTGACCCCCTGGTGATCACGGGCGTGACCGGGGAGGGGGAGGGGGGGGTGCGGTCACAGGCGTTACCTCGAATAGTTAAAACAGGGGTGCCAGTCAGGCGGGCTCGGGAGGACGTGCCAAGCGTCACAGGGCGTTGCGGAGTGCTCTCGGGGCGTTCCGGGGGGCGCGTTCTCGAAGGGCCGCGGCGCCCGATTCTCAGAGGTTCCCGTGCGCCTCTGCCCTCTCCTGAGTCGGGTGGTCCCGGTTCTGTGCCGCTCGCCCCGCCCTCGCCTTGTTCGGCTATGTGTAAGTAGGGCGTGTCCTTCTACAGGAGGAATGTTCAAAAAGGGTTTACAAATAGTCAGGGGACGACTTTTGGACTATTTTTTGGGGCTATTTTTGAAGATGTTTGGACTATTTGAGTTTTCGTCCAGAACCTGCCTGTAGGGGGACATGCCCGACGTAAGGCTATGCGTCAGAGGGGCCCTTCGCCGGAGTGACCTTTGGTGCGGGCTGGCAGGGGTCCCTCCAGCACGTGGCTGGCGCGCTCGGATTCGGTACCCCGCAGCCCCCGATCGCCAGGCACCCAGGGTCGCTCTTGCCCATGGCTGGCGGCGAGCCCAGGGGGGAAGTCACAGGGGCCAAGGCTTAAGTCGGGCACGTCCCTCTACAGGGGGAGTTCCACCAACATAGTAAACAGTAATCGGGGGGCTTTTTTTTTTTTTTTTTGTTTTTTTAATTATTTGGGAGTATTTTTTGAGTACAATTTTTCGCCCCAGATCTGCCTGTAGGGGGACACGCCCGACCTAAGCCTATGGTCGGCGGCGAGCCCAAGGGGGGAAGTCACAGGGGCCAGGGCTCGGTAGGCCCCCGGCCTTCGGAGGTGCTCTCGGAGCCCTCTCCGAGGACAGCGGCGGCTTATCCAGAAGAGGGCTGCCGAGAGGCCCCGCCGCCCTCCGAGGCCTGCCCCCCCCCCCCCCGTCTCGCTGCCCTCCCGGGCTCGCGGCCGACGTGGCCACTGCTGCGTGCAGCCGACGACCTCGAGTGTCGGAGGTTGATCGACCTCCTACTCTGACGCGTCGCTTGGCGAATTGGCCGTTGTCGGTTCGCGAGGGGGCGTCGCGGCCGTCATTTCTGCGTGTCCAGGTCCGTCGGTTTCGGTGCCAGGCCGTTTTCACTCAAGGGCGGTTTGATGAAGGGAGGTCTGTCCACCGCCGAGAGTGCCCGCAGCAATTTTTAGCTGGCCTCGAGAGCGCCAGGGCCCGAGGGCCGCAGCTCCCCAGCCGGCCGGTGAGGCCAACTTAGGCCAAGGCATGGCCGCCGCCTGCGCCTTGGCGCGCGGGGCGGTCGCCCGCGGGCCGACCGTCTGGACGATCCAGACTGGCAGGACCAGGACCTGCCGCCGACCCTGACCCCCCCAGCGTGGTGACCAAGCACACGCACACACACACACTCACGCACACGCACACACGCACAAACACACACACACACACGCGCGCACATACACACAAACGCGCGCGCACACACACATGTCACACTCATGTCACGCACACACACACACATGTTACACACATGTCACACATAAACATACGCACCACCCATACACACGTCGCACACCACCCCCACATACCACACCACACCACAACACAACACGACACGACACGACACGACACAACACAACACACCACACACACAACACACGCAACACAACACACACACAACACACGCAACACACACACACGCACACACACACGCGCACACACACACACACACGCACACACGCGCACACACGCGCACACACGCAATCACACACGCACACACAAGCACACACGCACACACAACACACAACACACAACACAACACACACACACCACACAACACACACACACGCACACACCCGCACACACCCGCACACACCCGCACACACGCACACACGCACACACGCACACGCGCACACGCGCACACACGCACACACGCACACTCGCACACTCGCACACACGCACACACGCACACACGCACACACGCAAACACGCACATACGCACACACGCACACACGCACAACACAACGCAACACAACAAACACAACACATCACAGCACAACACCTCACGCCACAACACAACACAACACACCACAACACAACACCACACCTCGCAACACAACACAACACAACACATAGCACACGACACAGCATACGCACACACGCAGACACACGTACACACGCGCACACACGCGCACACACGCGCACACAGGCGCACACACGCACACGCGCACACACGCAGACACAACACACAACACACACAACACACAGCACACACAACACACAACACACACACACACACCCGCACCCACGAACACACGCACACACCCGCTCACACGAACACGCACACGCCCGCTCACACGCGCACACGGACACACGCGCACACACACGCACGCACACACGCACACGCACACACGCACAAACGCACACACACACGCACACACGCACACACGCAGACACGCACACTCGTGCACGCGCAGACCCGCACACACGCACACACGCACACACGCACACACGCACACACACACACACGCACAGCACACACGCACACTCGCACACACCCACACCCACACTCACACGCACACACGCACACACGCACACACGCACAGACGCATACACGCACACGCACACACACACACACGCGCACACACGCACACACACACACACACGTACACACGCTCACACACACACACACACCCCTACACACCCACACGCACACCCACACACGCACCCACCCCACACACACACACACCCACCCCCACACCCACATCCACACCCACACCCACGCCCACGCCCACACCCACACACCCGCAAACCCACACGCACTCCCACACCCACACCCACGCACCCACACACCCACACCCACACCCACAAACACCCAGACCCACACCCTGACCCCGACAATCACTCACACCTACACCCACACCCACACCCACCCCCACACTCACACGCACACCAGCACCCACACCCGCACCTCGAACACCCACACCCATACCCACAGCCACACCCAAGCCCACACCACACACCCACACACACACCACACGCACACCACACCCACACCCACACCCACACCCACACACCAACACCCACACCACACCCCACCCACACACCCACACACACACACCCACACGCACACCCACACTCACACCCACGCCCACGCCCACACCAATACCCACATCCACACACCCACACCCGCACCCACACCCACACCCACACCAACACCCACACACCCACACACCCGCACCCACACCCACACGCACGCACACACACACACACGCACACACACACGCCCACGCCCACGCCCACACCCACGCCCACGCCCACGCCCACACCCACACCCACGCCCACGCCCACGCCCACACCCACACCCACCCCCACCCCCACCCCCACATCCTTGTTCCTTCTTATTATATACCCCCACCTACCTCGTATTCTGGCCGGTAGCGACCCAATCCGGGACCTCCCATCCGGACTGTAAAACATCAATACAAAGCTGCCGTTTTTCTTCTCAACGTCGTCTTTCTTGTCGTCGACGATGCGAAAAGCGTGGCAGGAATGGGACGCGACGCACATCGCGCGCGGCAGTCAATCTGGGCCCGCCCACCCTGACTGTAAAAAATCAATACAAAGTCTTCGTTTTTTCCTCTCAGCATGGCCTGCCTTGTCGCCGACGGTGCGAAATATGTGGCAGGAATGGGACGCGGCGCACATCGCGCGCGAACGTCCATGCGGGCTGCGGGCCCTCCCATCCTGACTAGTGCTACTAGTACCATTGGTACGACTACTACTACTACTACTACTACTACTACTACTACGACTACTCCTGTTACTGCAAATTGTACTACCAATGGCATTACTACTAGTCTAGCAGTAGTACAAGTATTACTGGTACTTCTACTTCCATAGTGCTACTACTCTGCACTACTACTCGTACGAGTACTTGCATTTCCTGCAGTACTTCTGCTTATGCTACTTGTATTATTACTCGGACTACTAGTACTACTACCTATTCGTATCCCTACTACTACTGCTACTACTACTACTACTACTACTACGACTACTACTACTACTACTGCTACTACTATTACGGCTACTACTACTACTATTACTACTACTACGGCTACTACTACTACTACTACGACTACTTCGACTACCACTACCACTACCACTACCACCACTACTACCACTACCACTACCACTACCACTACTAGTACTAGTACTACTACTACTACTACTACTACTACTAAAACTACTACAACTACTACAACTACTACAACTACTACAACAACTACTACTACTACTGCTTCCTCTTCTTCTTCTACTACTACTACTACTGCTACTACTTGTGCTACTACTACTACTACTACGACCGCTACTACTACTACTACTACTACTACTACTACTACTACTACCACTACTACTACTACTACTATTTCTACTACTACTACTACTACGACTACTACTACTACTACTACTGCTACTACTATTACGGCTACTACTACTACTACTACTACTGCTATTACTACTACTACGACTACTACTAC